TTGTAATTTGAACTTCGCCGGTGAATTTAGCGACTTGTGTCAATCTGACTCGGAAATACATATGACGTGACAGTAAAACAAAGTAACGGCATAGCTGTTTCATCACAAATTTAGCCACCTGATTATGACCGGCTCATTTCAATCCGACTACATTTTACGTTCCTTCTAATGTTGACATATCACTCATTACAGCAGAGGAACAGCGAACGGCCGAGTTTAGTGTCGACTCAAGACTTAAACGCGCAACTTTTGGCTTTCTCTCGGCGACTAGGGAGATGACATTTTGGTCGTCCAACCAGAGCAACATGATCAACGGCACGGACGGCGCCGTCTTCCACCCGCTCATCAACAGGAACGAGCTGCTCTACATCTTCGCCGCCGATCTCTGCAGGTATGCGTGCTCCAATATCGTGTCCTCCCCCGCCCTTGTTTTCCCGTCAAAGAACCCAAATAAATTAAAGGGAATTCAACGGGATCATGAATCACAGGTACGGAGTGTTTCAGGGACTGATAAGGAGTTTGTGTCAGAAAAATGGACACACCCTGGAAACTAATGATACACATGAAGCCATTTTGGAGATGAGAGCGAAGGGTTCACCAAACTGAGCGTGCCGCTTCTTTTTCGCAGGTCCATCCATCTGGCCTACGTGAAGGACGTGGAGGTGAAAGGCATCCAGGCGTACCGCTTCGCGCCTCCCGAAGACGTGCTCATGAGCCCCGTGGACAACCCGGCCAACGAGGGCTTCTGCGTGCCCGCCGGACGCTGCCTGGGCACCGGCGTGCTCAAAGTCAGCGTGTGTCGACAAGGTGAGAGAAAAGTGCAATTCACTGGTTGCGGCACACAAAGACTGAAGCGATTTGGAGGTTTCAAAGGCATCCAGTACAACAGCACTATGCACAAAAGAACGCCAAACCACGGAAAGCCCAACAATTTGGTGTCACATTCAAGTCACCATCTTTCATTGTCGAGGTTGTTTACACTTTGTCCATTAAAACAAAGTGAAGGTCGTAATGTCAGCAAAGCAATTCATGTCGGTCAATCATCATTGCAAATATACCTTCGTTGTCAATTATTAGCTCCAAACAGGTTGTTCATTATCCGCAGTCGTTGACATTTGCGTGAACGCGAAGGAAAGCAAGTTAGCACCATTTGGATTGAAATTAGCGCGCTGCGTGGGTTTAACGGCCACCCGATTTGGATCTGTTCCCTCTTGGTTCATTTAAAACACATGTCAAGCAATTAATTCACACTTTACATTTTTGCTTTTTCGACACCTGAATCTTATCTGGTTCAGACCTGCAAATATATGTCGACGCTTAAGTTTTTGAAAAGAAGGTAACACTTCCACACAGCCCGCTACCCTGAAATGATCGTCTCAGGCAGCGCAATCTGGTATTTCCTGCTAGATTTTTTTTTTTTTTTTTTTGACCGTGCGGTTGAATCATTAACGGTGCCAGGCGCGTGTGTGTTGTAATGATTGGAGTATTTGAGTTGAGTGGAGAGGCATTGCCGTGATAAGAACATGAGGAGCATCCTCGACATACACTCCACACGCTCACCTCTGGACTCTGGTGTTTGCATTCCTTCAACCATTCATCCTCCTTATCAGACACTTGTGCTGCCAAGATTAGCAAAAAAAAAAAAAAACGAAGGCCCTTTAACTGCTTAGATCCACTAAATAAACTCTATGGATTTTTTGCATTCAATTTACAATCTGGAGAGCCACGGTGGTCGATTGGTTAGCACGTCCGCCTTACGGTGCAGAGGTGCAGGGTTCGATTCCGCCTCCGGGCCTCCCTGTGTTAAGTTTACATATTCTCCCCGTGCCGGCGTGGGTTTTCTCCGGGTACTCCGGTTTCTTCCCACATTCCCTTATCAGACACTTGTGCTGCCAAGATTAGCAAAAAAAAAAAAAAAAAAAACGAAGGCCCTCTGCTTAATTAGATCCACGAAATAAACTCTATGGATTTTTTTGCATTCAATCTGGAGCGGCACGGTGGTCGACTGGTTAGCACGTCCGCCTCACGGTGCAGAGGTGCAGGGTACGATTCCGCCTCCGGGCCTCCCTGTGTGAAGTTTACATATTCTCCCCGTGCCGGTGTGGGTTTTCTCCGGGTACTCCGGTTTCTTCCCACACTCCAAAAACATGCATGGCAGGGTAATGGAACACTCTAAATTGTCCCTAGGTGTGATCGTCCAGGTGCTGAAGGAGCAAAGCAGGCCCATAGCATCACACTGCCCCCAGTGCCTGACACTTAACAGAATGTTCTTTTTATCAAATGCTGTGTTTTTTACGCTAGTTGTATGTGACAGCATTTGTCTCATCAGTTGAAAAAATATTTCTCCAAGTCAGTGAGGCCTGCAGTTCTTTGGGTTATCGTTCCGGGTTGTTAAGGTCAGCCGACCCAGGAGCAAACTATTGTTTCCAGTCTTCTCCGTTTGTGGGTATTGGCTTTGTTGATGTGGTCACAAATCCTTGGATGGGGCTTTTTTCCAGGATTTTATTTCCTCTTGTGCTTTTTTTTTTTTTTTTTTGCCTTATGGTCTGATGCATTTCTTTTTGAGTGCGTTAGGAGTGTCAAGTGATTTTGAGTATAAAGGTTATTTTCCAATCTCTGCTTAAAAGAATCCGCGTATCCATTGTGGACTCTGGATGTTTGTGTTAACCATGTCAACATGTCATTTAAAACACATGCCAGCGCTATCTATAGCTGTACATCAATTATAGCTACACAAACACAGTCTTTATCTCACGTTCCTTCTTATCTACCTCGCGGAGTTTAGGAGTGGCCATTTATTTGTTTGTGTTGCTTTTGTGCCCCGCCTCAAGGTGCCCCCATCGTGGTGTCTTTCCCGCACTTCTACCAGGCCGACCCAAAGTACATCAATGCCATCGAAGGCCTCAATCCAAACAAGGAGGAGCACGAGACCTACCTTGACCTGCAGCCGGTACGGATCGTTCTCGAGCTTGCAGTTACAACTTTACACTTTATGGTTCCGTTGAAGCAGGCTAGGCTGTTAACCTCGCACCTGAAGTCAAATAACTGGATTGGTTTTAAATCAACAAATTCACTGACACTCTGCTCTAAAATTCATGGTTGCCATGAGCATGCTAGAAACGTTGGCACGTTTAACAGAAAAATTGTACTCTGGTCCAAAATATATTTGAGAAACCAATATATAGGCATGCCATTGCTATATACATAATTATATTATAGCGGTCAATATCTGTCCACTAAAAAATGGGGAAAAAAAAATACTTGGACAGCAGCTCGGTTTTGAGCACTGTTAATTTGCTTACATTCATTCATACTGAGCTCTGAAATCACAATTACTTTTTTTTAAACAGCTCTTTGTGAAGTAGCTGATTTTAGCAGCGAGGGATCTAAAGATCTATCAATGCGCAATTAAGATCTTGTAGCACAGAAACATATCAGTTCTGTGTTTAATCTTGTGTATTGTGTTTACAGACCACCGGCGTCCCCATCCGGGCATGCAAGCGCGCTCAGCTCAACATCATCCTGAAGAGAGTGACGGGCTTCCCGTAAGTCCATTTGTGGAATGATTTTCCAAGCTTGGCCCGTCGCTAATTGTGTCACCTCCCATCTCACAGTGACACCAAGTTCCTCAACGAGACCATTTTCCCCATCATGTACGTCAATGAGGTGAGAAGGACCGCAGCAGAAACGCAGCCAACCTGTTCATTTTGAACCGCAACATCCATAACATCCTTTTTTTTTTTCTCGAGTAGACGGCCACGGTTGACGACGACTCTGCCTCCCAGATGAGGACGCTGCTGCTAATCGTTACCGTGGTGTCCAACTTCCCCTTGCTTATCGTGGGCATGGGCCTCATCCTGCTGCTGGTCCTGGTGGTCCTATTCTGCCGAAACCGCCAGAAGAAGGTAAGTCCCCCGTACAAACCCCGCCTGAGCTTTAACCCAATAGCAAGAATGATCCAGTCATCTGTTAGCTGGCAGGATCCCTGCTGGATTTTTAGTGTTGTTATGCTAAAACAAATGCTACACTCGGCTCTAAAGTGACTTTTTTTTTTAAGAAGCGGGAGTCACATTTTTCAAACAGTTGAGAACCTATTAGCCTAGCGTCTGGACGGCTAGCTTCAGCGACATTCGCCGAGAGTAACAGTTGCATTTTGAATGTGCCGTTTGTCATCGTTTGAAAGCTACGCACGCTAAGCTAAGCACGCTAAGCTAACTAGTTCCTCAACGAGACCATTTTCCCCATCATGTACGTCAATGAGGTGAGAAGGACCGCAGCAGAAACGCAGCCAACCTGTTCATTTTGAACCGCAACATCCATAACATCCTTTTTTTTTTTCTCGAGTAGACGGCCACGGTTGACGACGACTCTGCCTCCCAGATGAGGACGCTGTTGCTAATCGTTACCGTGGTGTCCAACTTCCCCTTGCTTATCGTGGGCATGGGCCTCATCCTGCTGCTGGTCCTGGTGGTCCTGTTCTGCCGAAACCGCCAGAAGAAGGTAAGTCCCGCCCCCCCGTACAAACACCGCCTGAGCTTTAACCCAATAGCAAGAATGATCCAGTCATCTGTTAGCTGGCAGGATCCCTGCTGGATTTTTAGTGTTGTTATGCTAAAACAAATGCTACACTCGGCTCTAAAGTGACTTTTTTTTTTAAGAAGCGGGAGTCACATTTTTCAAACAGTTGAGAACCTATTAGCCTAGCGTCTGGACGGCTAGCTTCAGCGACATTCGCCGAGTGCATTTTGAATGTGCCGTTTGTCATCGTTTGAAAGCTACGCACGCTAAGCTAAGCACGCTAAGCTAACTAAAACAACTTCAAACTTCAAATCTTGTATTTGTTGAAAGCCGTTTCTCCAAATGCAGATTCGCTAGCTTAGCTTAGCACGATGGAAACTGTTGAAGATGCTTAATTGCCATGTGAAGCACTTTTGTTGTTGTATTAACCCTGTTGTTTAAATTTTCTGTAACCCTCCCCCCTTTTTTCCCCTTTTTCTGTTTTAGAACGAAGTAAAACGCATTGATTTTACTGAGGCTTTTCATTCTTTTGCTGTAAGTCTTTTTTTCCATTTGGGTTTCCTTGTTTGCTGTTCTTTCGTGTTTTTTCCATTTTGTTGGTTCGCTTGAGTATCATTTCGTTCCTATTTGGGTCTTAATTGTTTGGTTACGCAGTGCAAATTTGCCTTATTTAGTCGGGTGGCCTGCATTTTATGCTGCTGTTGCTTTTGTCCCAAGTGCTCCATATTTACCGTATTTCCTCAAATAGTGTTGCATCGTTCAGTTGTGGGGGTAAAAAACAAAAAACAAAAGAACAACACAATAGTTTGTCTCTGTTGGCTGACTTTGCCATTAACATTCGGCTTGGGTCGCTAACCAGAACCAAAACACGTAAACATTCTTGGCAGTTTTGTATTTGCATATTCGTCATTGCACATTAAAAAATAGACATTTGTCCTTGTGATTCGGTTTGAAACTCACTGGATATTTTTATTGAAATAATATCGAAGTTTAATTTTTTTTGTATTGTTTTATTTTGTATGTATTGTATATTATTTTCATGAAGATTCATTATTTATAAGGAGAAAGTGCCGCTCTCCATGGCATGTCGACATTTTTTTTTTTTATTCCAAATTGATTTTGTTGCAGTAAAACTACAAAAATAAGTACCATCCAAATTTCAGTCACAATCCGATACTTGAAAAATGCTATTTTAAAATGAGTTGAGAACAACAAGTGGGCTCCCCTCCGACTAAATTCCTTCTCCCCGCTCGACGCCTCGTGTGCTCACTTTAAATACAATAAATGGTCATTTCTGAGGAAATACAGTTTTAAGAGGTTGTTTCAATGTCAACATTTCAAAAACTCATTTTGAACGTCCAAGGTTCTACCAATAGACATGCTCACCTGATTTTTTTTTCTTGATCTGTGACATTTATGTTTTCATTTTTGAAAAGTGATGTGTGTTTTCAGAAAGCCTTTTTTAAAGTATTTTTAAATATTCTGGGGGAAAAAATTGTATATTTCCACAAAAATAAGTAAAAAGTATCTTTTCAAAAAATCTTATACTTCCACAAAATGTTGTCTATTTTTCAAGAAGTTTTATATTTTGGAGGGATAGAAGTCGACCCACGATTGACACTAAATTTGGTGGACATGTCAAGAGGTAGAACGACTTCAAATTATTTTGTAGTCGACACTAAGATAATCAACTTTTGTCGACTCGTCATCAGCTTCCTGATGATGTCATCGCTGTGTTTCACAACTCGTGTGCGCCACTGTAAAAAAAAAATCAAGTCTCATTACCATCTGACACTAATCTCCTTTTTTTAATTTTTTTTTTATTTCTTCTTCTCCTGATCGATCCGCCGCAGACGGCCAAAGACGAGACTGCGTACACGCAGGTCAGCGACAAGACGGACGAGTCGCCCGAGGCTCCCGCCGGCCAGCCTATGAGGAACGGCTCCTACATCGCCATGTCTCCAGTGGAGGCCCAAAAGTGTTGATCCGCGATCAACCACCACCCCACTGCCCCCCCCCAACCCCCCCTGACTCTTTCGACCACTAGCCTGGAGCTCAGGAAGGGGGTTGAGGGAGCAGTGCACAGTATGGGGGAGGTGAGGGGAGGGGGTCATGTTACCACGAGTGGCTGAGGGGAAGTGGGTTTACTATTGCGTTGGATTGGGAACTCTCCCTCAGCCATTTGGGACTATCTAATCCACCCCACCCCGCAACGCCGAGTCAACCAGGAGAGACTTCCTCTTCCTCTCCTGGTTGACTCCAAAGATGAAGGACTTGACCGGGGCTGTTACCCCCCCCCACCCCCTCCTCTCCCCCTCCCTTGGCCAAAATGGTTGTCATTTCAACACGGATGCACCGTCCCACCAGTGGCAAAACGCCTTGTCGTATTAACAAAAGTATTAGGTTAAAAAAAAAAAAAAAAGACTGAGCCAATTTAGTCATTTTTGCCTTTTGTTTCACACACTAGCTGGTTGTGAAAGTGTCTCCGCACCAGTTTTTTCCCCCATCCCCGTTGTAACTAAATACATTTCCTAGCTGCTCGGTTTATTCCCCGCCTGTAGCTCATCAAAGCTTTTTTTTTTTTCTTTTTCAATGGGGAACAACAACAACAAAAATCACCTGCGGAACTTACAAGGGAGACTCGAACTCGCTTTCTCTGCCTTACCGCCATGACGGTTTGCACGTCTACACTGTTACTCAAGCACAAAAGAGACCAGGAGCAATCCTCAGCGAGCCAACGGGGTCGACGTTCGTTTTTCGTCAAGAGTCAAAAGACGCTGTCGGTGTGACTGCGCAAAACGCAGCACTTGAATCACTCGTTGTCTTATCATTTCAAAACAAAAAAGAACAACAAAAAAATATATACATCCGACACACGAAAACTTTTTGCCTGGAAAATGTGCCCTGCATGTATTTTTTTTTTCTTCTGTGTGTGTCAAGTGTTTTTGTGATTTCTGCAAGTCGGTGGTCCGTCTGTACACAACATTTCAAATCCTTTTTTTTTTTTTTTTTTTTGGTGTGTGTTTTTGTGGCCATGAACCTGTGGATGTTCCGATGAGTCCTGTTCGAGTCAACCTTTTTTTTGTTTGTTTGTTTGAGAGCCTAAAAGCCAACGAGGAAAAACAAAAAGTTACATTTATGAAACTTTTTCATAAAGTTTCCACTGGTTTGGCCCGGTTCAGTTTATGAGAGAAATGCCACACGCTAAATTATCTCCCGATGACTCTCGCAAGGATAAGCGCATCAGGTCACGCATGAGTGGATAAATGATCTCTCGTGACCGTCGTTAGCCGTGGGACAGAACATCACATAAGGAATCGAAATTTTATCGCAATGTGGAAGTGACAATTTGCCAAACCGTTTAATGAAATGAGCAAAAGTGGTGGGATGACACATCTCCGATTCACTTCGAAAATGCTTTGGGACTTTTCACGATGGGACGGCAAACGAAAAGAAAAAAATTGCGAACTGCATTGAACCAAACCAGCGGAACTTTTTTTTTTCTCCTTATGTCACGTATGCATGGATATCAAGTGATCCAGTTCACGTTGCTGTCTTCCACTTCGGTTCAGCTACATAACAAATGTATTGTAGTCGGATACCCTTTGCAATGGAAGCCACAAAAAAAAAAAACGCCTGGCATACTGTCAAGCATAATTTTGGGTGACTTTCAGCCCACCTTTGATCCCCATCTGCCTGGCAATCCAACGAAACGGTTCTCAAGAGTGGGACGGTTTATTTTATTTTCCAACGGTAACACGAAATGCACTGTACCGAGCCAAACTTTATAGATATATTATTTTTTTGTGGATCAGTGTTAAGCGGTCCAGTGGTCCAGTTCATTTCGCGCCGTTGTGGGTCAGATCTGCTGTTTTGTTTCCACTGCGGGCAAACGACGAAAAGAGCATCTCATGGGGAATCGGGATAGGTTGGCAAATGATGGTGAACCGTTTGAAACGCAGCCTTTCAAAAGAGAACCCGACGTGTAACGCGTGTAAAAATATGGGGCGGTTTTGTATATTTTAATGGATTTGTCGGTTCGGCTAATTCCCACGTTTGCGTGTTTGCGCGGCCTTTCACGTGGCAAACGTCCCTTTCGGAGAGCCGACTTCCGCCCACCACCTGTGACCAAAGACATCCCTGTTGAGCTCCTCTGTGCCACAAAACCGATACCGCCTACCGTATTCGCCCCCCCACCCCCA